GGACTCAAGAGGCCCCCGTGCATTATTTTGTGCTCATTTTCATATCAGCTAACCTCACGACGACTAGAGCCAAGCGATGACGACGACGACGAGATGCTAAAGAGCGGCCGCGGGCACTTCAAAGTGCAAGTGTCAGCCGCGCGCCGAAAAAGCGTCGATGGGCTGATGCCTGTGCGAGTGGAACATTGAAATCCAGTCGAATTCTATGACACACAATACGCAACCACGGCTTTTTCCCAGCTCTTCATCATGTGTTTCAGCAGTGCTGGAGGTTTTGCTATTGACATGATGCTAGTGATGAGTGAGAACTGGTAGGGTGTGCATTGCGCGAAACAACCGGTGACTTTCAAGTATTGTTCGAGTGGGTAAGAGATTCGTAAGCAATCGGAATTCTGGAAAATATCTGTCAAAAAAATTAGAAAGCAACTGCAAGCATTATCTAGTATCTTCTCATCGGTAGCTGCTTGGCAAAGCTAGAGCCTTTGTAACTATCGCGAGATCACATCGATTTTTTTATACTTTTTGATTTTTTAATTTTTATAACAAAGCAGTCCTTCATTAGAGTATCTTCTCCTTCCAGGAGCGTCTTATTACCACCCCGAAAATGGCAAGTTTTCAAAATTTTTACGACAAGCAGTCAGGCAGTGGCAAACTTTTGCACAGTTCAGATAGAAGCTAAGGATGATTGGAACTTCCGCAGAACTTCTGCCGAACCTTCGCATGACTCTTTATGTTTCTCGTACCTCTTGTAGAAGTTCTGAAGAACTTCACGCTTACATGCAGTGTTGGCAATCTTCCAAGGGGTGTCGTTAGAGCCTATAGATGTCGATCGGAACTTCCGCAGGACTTACATTCCTCTTTTTTCCTCAAAACGATCATAGCTCTGGCAGAAGTTCCTATCAGTTTTTTTGGGAAAATGATCATAAGCTTCTATATGCTGCTAAAAGTATGAATTGTCTTTCTTTGCTCTTTTTTTATGTAAATGAGTTCAAGGTTTTTTCTGAACTACAGCTAGAGTAAGACCTTTAAGATTTTTCTTCCTGTCTTTTCAGCATCTGAGCTCTTTTGCACAAATTGCGCCGAGCCTCGGGCTCAAGTAGCAGAAGTGCGAGATCGTGACGGTGACACCGAAGAAGAAGAAGAAGAAGAAGTCGTGTCGGTGTTGCTGCAGTGTATTGCGCATTGTCGGCGGCGTGTTTCGATGTGCTTCGTCGACACTTCTTTGTTTGCGTCCATTCAACGCACTAATGAGAGCCGAACTAGCACACACATACACACCAACCAATACACCAACCAACCATCACTCCACACCGGCGATTATATTGAGAGCAATTGAGCAACAAGTGAGGATGAACGGTTTATGGGGGAGTTCAGACCGCGCACTGATAACGACGACAACTTTTTTTAGGGAATTACTTATTTTGATGGGAAAAGATTCTTGAGAGCCGACAAGAACTTGGAACGAGGTTTAGAACATCATGCTCCAGCAGTTGAGTAGCCTAAAAAGGCTTATTCTTAGGTCTGCAATTTTTACAAAAACATCAAAGAACCGTTTCAAAATTCTGTGTCTTAATCTTATTATTTGATCTCTTTGATGTTTCAGAGGAAATCAGTGCTGAGACTTGTTTGTCAAAGATAAAAGTCACATATTGAACCTGAGCAAAAATTCATAAGCGAATTGAAACTATCGCGAGCTCCTCATCTTAGCACAAATCCGAAATTCTGAAATAACTTTCTGATAGCAATCGATCTTTTAGACAGAAGGATGGAAATGTTCAAGTCAAGATTTTCTGTGGCGTTGATAAAGGGTTTATATCACCGTGTGTAACTATAATCAAATATTATTATACTGATATTATTTGTGACTACTATATTTTGTGCTTGGTTCAGTCCCTTATTTTGTGAGAATTTGTTTACTGCACTAGGTATTTTTGGATAGCGAGCCGGTCGCTGTGATAGAAATTTGAGATAGCGAAAGCAAAAATGGTACAATGTAGATGTTCTTTATATTTGAACACAGGAATCAGAAACCTGATGTAAGAGAAGGAACGAAAGGAGCTAAACATCCGCTTTAAATACGAATTTTTTTGCCTAACCTTCTTTATGTTATGAATCCGTGTACAAAAGAGTTCCCTTCTCATAATGCTGACATCTTTTTTCAAAATCGCTATTCTTGAATGTTTAAGTTCAGAAATCGCAATGATGATTACTTTTCTTCCAGTTCAAGTCACCATCACAATAACTTCTTGTCGCGTAATCGCCGTTACCTCGGCGTGAATGTGACTGTGTGTGGCGCTGTAAGTGGTAGTGATTTGTGTATTGTGTTCTGCGAGTAGGGAGTGGGGGTTGAGACCGGTGGCTGGGTGTCAAGGTGGTCTTCAATTACGGCGAAGACAGCACTCGGCCGTAGTTGGCTGCTGTGCTCGATTAGCTGCACTTAATAGTCGACTCGCTCGCGCTTCGGCTATTGTCTAGGCGCCTAGGTTACAGTATGTGGTAAGTGACTGCGACCGACCGAGCGCCGTGCAACTCGCAGCACATCGACCACGACGGTGTAATTGCGTCCGAAACGTTGCTAAACGCCAGCGGGGGTTATTGAGACACGAGACACTTAGGACTATGGCTCTATTCAGCGCAACTAGACCACCTGCCGAGTGAAACACCTTCATCGATACAGCGCACAGCACGGAGACCAACTTAGCGCCTCATAAGAAGTCAGTAGTGATTGCTATAGTAGCATAGGGAGTTGAAGAGGGGCGGAGAGGAGGGAATGGTATTGTCTGCAAAAATCTTAATTTTTTAGCCTTTTGAGGAAAAAAGAGATGGAAAATAAAAAAGAAAAAGGCTAGCTACTAGATATAAATTTACGGGAGGCGGTCAAGAGGCGCGATCTCTGACTGTCACCAACTCAAAACTCAAGTTTAGGGCTACGCAAGTCGTCAAAGCCACCAGACAAAGTACATTGGCTTACTAGTTGTCTAAAGTTACCACTTGCTGAGTTTGAAGTCTTTCGCTGAAAATCCGACCAAAATAAGAACAAATTTGTTATTGATTGCATTTTCAAGAGTTTTTGACCTTCACCATTTTCATTTTGAATCGCTTTTGGAATAGCAAGACTGTACAACTTATGCAAGCATCTAATATATCTTCCCTAAACTCTAAAATACTCTCAGAACTCTATAAAACACTAAATATGTGCTATTTGCTGTCCAGCTGGCAATAAAAATCGCGCCTCTTGACATACACCCTAAATTTACGGACTCTAAGACTTTTTGCCTTCAGTTACTGCAGTAAAATACTTCTAGTGCCATGGAACTATTCATATTTTATTTATATGAATTTCTTGTTCATTCATCAACTACCGACGTGGTGTTTCTGCCTGGATAAATGCTACTTTTTCCTTTTTAGATGTTTAGCTGTCTTTTCAGGCATCTCTGTCTTCCGAACCTGCTCCAAACGATCTAGCAAGGAATCTGTGAGAAAAAGAAGATTGTGCTTGGACGATAGGTTCAGAAAATTAGCTGAATTCTCGGCTTCCTCGCCTAGGAAGTGCAAAAACAGGCATGCCGGCTTTGAATGCTTTTAGGAAGCTGGGCTTTTTTCCTGATAAAGTTTGGATAATATTGTAAAAATGAAAAACGGGAAGAGGCGAGGATCTATGCATTCATGGTAGCAGAAATGTAATGTGACCTATAAATTTGTATTTTTACAAGAAACAAAATCATCTATGGAAAATTTGAGAATTTTTTCTTGAAATATAATACATCAAACTGTGTATTGAACATGGACCATAGGTTTATAAATTTTTTGACATTTTTACCTGATGGCTTACCTATAGTATTAAAGAATGAATAAAATGAATAGATAGGAAAATAAATAATAATTTTCCAGTTGAATTCCTGGAATACCGTAACCTCTTGCACTTCGCATAATCAAAGGCGGCTCCTATAGCTCTCTCTATTTGCTGCACACGAGTGTTAAATTTCACACCCGTTGTCATCAAACCCTTCTCTTTCATGGCTCTTGTGTACAATTTAGCTTTTTCAACGCTGGCTGGACGATTGTAGTGCAAAAGTTGTGAGCTAGGAGCAATCGATAATCGATTAGATCGATTGCCTCTGTTTTTTGAAAGGATCAGTAAGGTAGTCGTGTTTACCCAGTAATGCAATGCAACAGATGCAGATTAACGAGAACAGCCATTGCATGGTTGTTTGAAGAGATTAACATCGATGTTGTGACGATGTCACGACAGATTTGACGTCATCCCGGATCGAATATCAAGATTTGGAACTCAAAGCACAATAAATGTTCAAAAAATATCCACTAAAATTTCTTTCGAAAATCAAATTTTGTAAGAAAAATAAAACAACTGATGATTGATTACTTACATTTAAACTCGAATAGTTTCGTTTACACTCATAAAATATTCAATTACAGATTCTCCAACAGCCAGTAACACAACAGATTGAGGAAAAAAATAAACACGGGCTGTGTTGAAGATTGTTTTCTTATTTTTCAGCCACAGATAACTGGACTTTGGATAACAATTCGAAGTCAATGAATTTCTCAAAGTTTCTCATAGTTCCTCAAACAGGATCAGGCATCTACGCACTTAGCAAAAATATTTGCTGTTCGTTTTCAATAAATCAGTTGTTGCTGATGTTAGAAAACTAGAAAAATTATGTGGGGTTGGGACGGGTGATTTTTCCGAAATTTATGTCTGTACAAGCAATCTTAACTCCGATCTGTCACATACTAGATGCTCATACTACCACATAAACTTCATTAACCATCGATTTTGTGGTGAACTTTAAAGCAAGCAAAAGCCAAAAAGGTCTAGAAAAGACCTGAATTTCGGACGCTGCGAATAAAGGTCGGGAACCCCTGCAGATTTTCAGTTTTAATTCTTTTTTACTTCCTGTACTCCGCTGTACAATCCAGAATAGCGAAATGTATTTACATTTATTGAAACATCTGCCAACTTTAAATGAATCAAAATCGCTTCATATTCTTCTATCAATCGACGTGAAGTCGGTGGTTATAGGTCACAAGTAAGTCAAGAATAGCACCATTCGTCCAGCCAAAGCCATCCTGAATAGGGAAGTCATATTCAGTGGTCAAAACAATACAGTCAAAACATCCACAAAAAATTGATCGCTTCAGGACCACAGTCCCTGTTTTGAGTTCTACTTAATCTTGAAAACTCCAATCTGCAGTATACCTCACCTGAACATCGTATTCTCCTCCGGATCCTGGCTTCGGATAATCACCAATGACGTTGTACTGAAAAAACACAGCCCTTCAAAATTAGGGGAAAGTAGCGCTATTACGGTATGAATAGTGTAATCTTTGCTTAAACGACCTCTTGAAAAGTTCTTCTGCAGAAACCTCATTAGAGCTTACTAGAGCTCCTCGGTTCACTATCACTGATTGGTCGTATCAAAACAATCAAGCCGCTTACAAACAGCAGTATGAATGTGTATGACAGTGCTACGGTAGTGTATACGGTAGTCATACGGTAGGCAACTTATTTAGCACACGAAGTCTGTTTTTTTCCTATAGGAAGAGTCTTGAGAGCTTTTAAGACTTTTTAATTTATTAAAATTGCCAATTTCCAATCAAAGCAACTCAGCTCTCAACCAAGCATTCTGCTCTCTAATCCACTCACTCTTCTCTATGTAAATTCACGCGATGAAGTGCTTTGCGATGCGCGCACGCATCGACTTCTGCCCATGGGTCGAGAGCTTGTTATTAATAAAGGCTCGGCTTGTGGTACATGTGCCCGGAGTCCTTCTGTCGATGTGATTTACGCTAATTTCATTCGTTTTCTAATGCATCGTTTACACGTGGGGCTAATTGGTAATTGAGGGCTTGCGGCTCAACGGCAAAGTGGGAACAAGTGATGGTGACGGCTGCCCACGGGTCGAACCACTCAAGCTTGCGCGCGCGCCAAAACCGTGGTTATGGAGCTCGGGATTGGTGGGTGATGGGCATTGCTACCGTAATGGGATAGGGCCCAATATCAAACAGGTTCCAAAAAAGTTGTAGCAAGCGTACGGGGAAAGGGCGCGAGGTGCGAGAGTGGACGTTGAAGAATGTTGTAACGTTGAGGCCTGCACATGCGAACACTTTCCTTGTATATGGTGACATCAATATTCTGCACAGAGATTATGATGCCCCCCCCTACCCCCCCCCTCTCCCAATCTCATTGGAGGCTGAAATTTGATTGGAAATAAAGAAAAAATTGAAAAATTGAGCTTTGATGCAGATTCTGCTGAACGGTAGTGTAGCCAATAGTTTGCTGGGCAAAATTTTAGCGTAGCGCCAGCAATACGCAGGAAAAGTCATGGCAGAGCGAAAAATACCCAAGAATTCATTTTTTTACGCCTATCCATCCTACCGTAGAGCGAATAAATGACACTAAAGGGTCCTATTTATTTTTGAATCGACGGTTGACATGGTGTCACTGCAGTGACGGCAACATCTGCGCGAAAATGGATGCCATGCTTGTAAGTGCGCTCAACCTGCCTCAAATTCGCGCGTAAAAATTGGCTATGGAGCGCGACCGCTTACCAAATGTTGTCGGCATCGCAAATACACTACATCGATCTGGCTTATTTTTTGCTAAACATACTCAGCAATATTATAAAACCTTCCTAATTTTTTTGAGGTGTGCCTTTGGCGGGCAGGAAGCGGAAGGGTTGGCGAAGAATTGGTTACGGTAGAAGCTGCGCAGGTTCTCCAGCAACTATTCCACTTCTAACAATAGCCTTCTTGACTGAAAGATGTCCTCATAGCCTTCCTGACGCCGGGCCGCGCAAAAATGCCTGCGATGTCCTCATAATGGGATAATCTGAGTGACTCGCAATGTCCTCACCGACACCGAATGCGGCTGTAATGAATAGCGGCGTCATCGTACTTAACACACAGAAGAAGAAGAACGTGCGTGTCCTTAGCCAAAGAGGAGTCCTTATCGAGCCGCGAGCGCCTATTCATTGCGTTCATTGCGCGAATTCCTCTACCGGGGTGGGATGGAGGGGGGAGGGGGAATGAGTGCGCTCTTGAAGTGTCGGCTCGCTCTGATTGTACTACATAGCACGAGCGGCGAGCAATGTATCAAACGGTGTTACCTTGGTAGGGAGGAGGGGGGGGGAGACTTAAGGGGCTCCATTTGTGCGATATTGCCCTGGTGATGGAAGACAATAGCCGCATGAAGAGGTGCGGGGTAAGGCAGTGGAGAAGAAGTGCACAGGAACATACATACCAGCCCATACCATTCCGAAACCCGCGCCCGCCATCATCGAACCCCCTTCCCCCCCCCCCCGCCACTTGTCTTTTGGTGTTTTTGTTGCCGACGTGGATTACACTTGACTTTGACTCTCCTCACATCACGCACACTCCATCGTACACAGGAAGAACACACTCGATTATCGAGTCGAATTATTTCAAATACAATATCGTGCGCGCTTAGGCTCGGGGGACAAGCGATCAGTGACGCAATTACGACGATAACATCGCTAAACGAAACAAATCCGAGCCGATTAGCCGAGCACCAGCGTGTATCGTCAGCTCTAATGCCACTGTGCAATGTTTGCTTCGAAGTGTATTAGACGATGAACACCTGTTACGTTGCCCGATGACGTAATGAATTACTCGAGTACATTGCAATTAGCGACATAATGCCGGCGTGACGACAATATCGGGACAAAAAGACGGGGGGGGGGAGTGAAATGAAGGGCATATCACTCATACAAAAATAGATCAGGTTAGGAAAGGGCACTAGATTACGAATTCAAGGCCTACAGCCTCCGGAGCCGGACAGCTAGAAATCTACAGTACTGCTACAGTACTTCCTCACTACCATGTTCCCTGGTCTAGTTCAAAAAGACAGGGCGAAGGACCATCACTCTTCCAAAAGTACAAATTGCAATGATTCTGGTTATGGGAAATAAGTGGGCAACAATCCTAGCATTATAGATCTACAGTACACCTACAGTACTCATTAATATGCACCTTACGGTGCAACCCACACTAACTGGTTTATGCTAAAATTTTGCTTAATCTGGTCATATTAAGTCCATCGCAGTCATAAAGATTCACTTTGCAGGATTACAGGAAGCGATTAGTGCAGTTTGAAACCTTATATCGAGCATTACCGTATCCATGCAGTGTATCGTACTCCTACAGTATTCCTACAATGTGTCACCGATAGCAAACTGATGAAATGTTGTGATAAGCAAGTTAATTAAATCATCCAAGCAAAAATCCCAGAAAAATTCTGGAAATCTACCACCTACCGTATACACACCGTATCCCCATAGTATAAGGTGTCTTCAAATTCAGAATTTGCCCATTTTGAACCGATTTATGGCGTACGATGCGAACATTGGCAAACTCTGGTGGCCACTGTTTTTTCCTCACAAATTGCAAACGATCTTGTAGGATTACGGACCTACAGTACATCTACAGTACTCCCTACCGTATTTCCCGTGCAGCTTGAAATGGTTAGCTTAAGCGCAAAGCTTTCTTTTAATAGAGGCATTATTCCCTTCACACCCATAAAAATCCACTTTGCACATTCTATCGCGCAATCTTTATCGGAGTTTTGTGACCAGAGCGGCGGCGACTACCGTTTCCTCTGTCAACCCATCTCTACCTACTACCTCCCCTACCCGATGTAATTGGGTGCGAGTCCATTATACGAAACACATGTGTCCTTGACAGATCATACAAACGCCTTCCCATCATCATCGCCGCTGATGACAATGTGGGCACGAGCGACAACTCTCTTACTAAACACTCGACATTGCGACAGATTACCCGATCATACATAAAACGAACACAAATCATAGGACACGGAGAAGTTTTTGGGACAGAGGGGACTTTGATTTGTGGTTTTTGAGAAGGATGCGATTTAGGCGTATAGATGTTGAATGTCACAAAGGAACGAACAGTTTCGAAAAAAGTTTGAGAAAACAAGACAAGGAAAAATTTATATGTAAAAATAGCAGATTAAACATCAAAATCACGGAAGTCACGGTTTTGCCCGTAAGTTCTGTAAGTTTTCAGTAAACTCTCATGGAAAACTATAATGGAAGAAACATAATCAAGGATCAAGAGCAGATTAGTAGTATCTCAGGAGAGTGGTTTTCAACAAAACAAAAAAAAAACAGTAATGTAAAATGGTGGTCGTCACTCGGGTTAAGCAAATACTTTAGGTTATCTAAGTACAACAATAGAAAATCATTTCTAAATCGCTTCTTGCACTCCAGCCAATATTAAAAGGCACGTTTGAAAAAAGGGAAGGGGTATAACAAGATTTGTGAAATTGAATAATGATTTGAGTTACGACACACTTCCATGAAGGTTTTCTTGTCTGCATTCCATATAGGACCAAGACTTTTAGCCGGGTGATATGATTTTTTTTCAATATTTGAATCTTGATGAACTCGCAAATAGTAAGTTCGTATTTTCTTCGTTGCCTAGCTCATAAACCGAAGATTGTTGGCAATAAAAAGTAGCAATATTGAAAGGTTTTCAAGTCCAAGTGACTGCCACAATAGCCACTGATATCTAAAGGAAAGCAAAGGTCTGGAAAATCCAGGAAAAACGCAGGTTCTGCCGCTAAGGAAAGTACAAGTTTTGCTTTTGTGGCTATATCCTCTCCCATTTTCTTTTCCCATGTTCGAATTTCGAAATAAGACTTTTTCATGCGTCCTATCGATTCAATGCCTTGAGGCGAGAAAGAGTAAATCCTACGAAGGAGCGATGCCCGCTTCTTGAAGAGCATAACAAGACATCGTCGGGGGGGGTTACGGTAGTTGTCGTCGGGATGAGCTAGCTGGCTCGTGGGGCTGGGGTGAAATTGAATTGATACCGTAATCAATCGCGGCGTGCTTCTCATGCAAAGAGGCTTCTTCCGTGCTCATTCAAATCGGCCTGCGACTGCCGAATTTATGATGCGCGATTATTCTAATGTGCTCAGAGTGTGCTCAGAGCTAGAGATGGCTGAGGCTTGAAGAGGGCTCGCGCCTAGGCTTCTCTACTTGAACGCCGTAGGGCATGAAACCCGCGCGGCCAGACACGAATGGCACTAGAGGGGTCGAAAACATGCAGCTCACAGCTTTAATGATAGAAAAAGGGAAACTAAAAAGGAAAGCGGAGGAAATGGCACCGAGCCGGAAATTTAGGTACAACAGTTGCAATAGATCTCGACTTCAAACAGTATTCAAAAAAGGCGATAACATCAAATTTTACACCCTGGAGCTCTTGCAAAGAGAGCTGAGAAATTATTTCCTCTATGAATGCATATGGAGTGTTGCCGTGGCCAAAAAAATTTTTTTTTGGAAAATGAAAAAATTCCTACATTTAGGAGGACGTCTACAGCATGATTCACCCTAACCTACTAGAATTAGTAACATCATTTGCTGGTTTTCACACACTTTTCAGTCCTTTGTGTTCTAAAAACCTATCAAAGTAACTTCACGAAATTGTACACTGTCTTTGTATTGTAATTTGCTGCTAATGCATAATTTGACAAGGGAAATATTGGAAAGACTATGCCTATTATTGCTTTATGCTGCACGTTCAAATGTTTCAAGATGAAAAAAAAATGGAGACATATGACTAAACTGATCATTGAGTCAGAGACTTACCTTTTCCCACATGTGGTTTGTTTCCTTCCAGACTTTATAGTTACCCATAATCCATTTCTTGGCAAGCTGGTAACCCTAAACTGTCATTTTTAGAGAAAAGGACGTTATTAATTGAGTAAAATATGACACAATGGGCAGCTCACAATACTTTTGATTTGTTCTGAAGAATCCAAATTCACGATTCACACTACTAGGTTTGTAACAAATGTTGTCCAAAACATATAAAAATGAAAAATTTATACTTTCTATGGTATATAGTGAATTGTTTTTACTAAACAATTAAGAGATTTTATTCGAAATCAAAAGTCTGAAAGTTCCAAAAAGGAACTTTCTTCCAATCTTCACAATTTTCCCCATGTGAACAGAGCAGGTAATAAACGATAGCAAAATTAAAACCAGTCTTTGGTCGACGCTCTAGAATTGTTATTCAAAATCTTTTGCTTTTTTTTATTAGGCTGACCTTTTTTTGGTTGTGATTTTTATGTGTCAACCTAATAATTTCGCAATCTAATAATTTTCCAAACTGTACTCCTAAAAAAGCTTTATCAAAACAACTAATGCTGAAGAATAAATGGAATGCCAATCACAAGAGGTCTCAAAATTAGATTTTTCAAGACTACTAACTTCATCCTGCATTTGAGCATTGTGGCTTTTTCTGAGTCCCTCGACCACCATATGATTTAGTGGACTGAACCCATTTGGAAAGTCCCATTGCTCTTCACTGCTAGTGACCATCGATGTTGGAATGCCACCAGGATACTCAAAAACTCCGATATGCTGCAACCGAAATTGTAAATATACCCTTAGTTTGCACAGAAATGATCTCACCTTCATCAATCTGAACAATCTTTCGGATTTGCCCTGATTCAAGGTGTTGTAACATCCAGTAAACAGCGGCACGGCAATCGATGGATAAAACGCTTGATTATGTTTACCAGTTCGTAAGTTGAAATCAAACCTGAAAAGTAGAAATTGCTGCTAAGTAATGTTGGGTCTCGAGCACTCAAATATTACCAGGAACCAGCGGTTTGGTTATAGAAAACCTTGTGTACAGTTTTTCGGAATTTAGCTCGCCGTTCTCGATAGAATTCGGACTTGATTGGATCATCTAAAATTGATATAATCGAGTATTTTAGACAACGAAAGAATGTGCGCCAACCTATTCTCTCGTACAAATAGGTCAAAATATCAAAGTTCCAACACATGAATGCGTTCAGGTCCACCGGGAGAACCTGAAAAATGATGTGCTATTTGGCGAATAGAGTTTATTCCAGACTCAATAAACCACAAGCTTTATGAAATTCATGCACTGTACTCGGTGTTGCCTATATGCGCAATGTCCTGCAATGATTCGTTGAAAAATCATTTTTCGAAATTTGAAACCCTTGTGTAGCGGAAATGTGCTGGTCTGAAAAAGTTTCCCGTTCATACTTCACGCGAGCTCTGTCGCGACTCGACTTGGCAACAATCCAATTTTGTATGAATCATCGTAAGAACCCGAATGTACAGAAGATAGGCATTTTATCAATCCAAAAGTTATACCATTTTTTGTTTATTGTCTGCAAGAGTTGCATCCAAAGACATCTGGCAGATCGCCAGATCGCGTCGCGATCAATCGCGCTAAGTATGTACTTTACGGGGCTGACCAATTTTTTCGATCCCAGTCATTTTCGCATTTTTGCAAGCAACAAATGGTTCTGGTATAGCAAATTCATTCCGCAAATTTGTCTCACCAGCATTTTTGATAGAGTCTGTGACTCATCTGTCGGTAAAAAGCGCAAGGGTGAACGGGGAGGAAGAAGGCACTCGATGCAATTCAGTGTAAGACTAACAGTCATCTATAAGTGAGAACCTGAACCCTACTTACATTTTTCGTGTCAACGGCAAAAATTTCTTTGCGATCGCTAAACCACCTTGTAGAAAAATCCCATCCTGACTCGGCCGCGCTAGCAAGACCCTGAAAGGAGATAAGCGAAAATCAAGATAAACTCGAGGTATACAAAAGTGGTCTCGAAAAAAGCGAGCGAAATAACGGGTTTAAAAGATTTTACCTGCCAATATTGAGGTTTGTAGTGCGCTTTTTGCGCGTTTTTCAAATCCTGCGTATAGGCTTCCGGCCGTGGCAAATTGCTTCTGCTGTTGTAAAGATAAACCGCATGAGTCTCTCCATTTATTTCTACTGTAGTCTAAACCAATGCTTTTGACAACGAATTCTCTTTAAGATTCCCTGACCATTCGATTCGTATTCCAAAAATCCATTTCCTTTTCTAGAATTGGTATCATCTTGGTGATGAAGTCTTTATCTTTGGTTACTTCGTAGTATTCGTAAACCATTCCTGCCAACAAAGGCGGTTGAGATCTTTGCAAGTAGTAAACTCGGCCACCATTTGGCACAAATCCAAATCTGAAACAGGAAGTTTTGACTCTCGGAGAAAGTGGGACCGCGCCGCAGCAATAGACGCGATTTGATCGTCTTTTGCGTTGGCGACGATACCATATACATATAAAAATTTTCTCACCTTTCTACCAATGAAGCTAAATTTTCTATCATGGCTCTTGCAGTTTTATACATGTCACACGCGATAAGACCCTGCAAAAATTGTTTTTGTTTTTTTTTCTCATTTCTTATTCATAGCCGCCTACCTTTATGATCCAATAAGCATCCCAATAGTAAATTTCTCTAAATCGTCCTCCAGGCATGATGAAATTGTTTGGCAAATGGATCAACGAAGAGCGTGAAGTGTTGTTTTCAATGTCCGGATTGATCTGTAATTGTTTACTGAATGTTTCAGTTTTTCAGCTCTTAATCGATATTTTTGTCCAAAGTTCCTCGTAATTAATCTGAGGGAAATCAGCCAAGTGATCTAGTAACATTGCATTCTGACAGTGAGTATTCACGTGCAAACCAGGCTACAAACTATAAAAATTGTTTCCTGTACTGATGGAGGGCGCAAAAACGATCAATTATTGAGAGCTTACCCTCTTACAAAGATTCCTCCAAGCACCATTCAGTGAAAGTGCCCATTCTCGAAGCTTTGGATCCACAATGGCTACGAGCTTCGGTGGCTGTGGGTCCCAGTCTTCAGGAGTACAAGGCACCAACTCACTTCCCGGTGGGCTATAAATTCACCTGGCAATTTGAAGAAGTAGAATTAGACTGTATCAACTCACCTAAAGTGCTCATCAACGAAATCTTTGAGCTTTGCCCTGTCTATGGATTCGATGGATTGTGTGCCAAACTGCTCCTTGAACTTTTCCAAGACGTAGTCTAAGCGACAAAAAGAAAATGTAGGAATGTTTCAACTGCTCTAAACCCTTATACAAATGGATGATACCACCCCCCCCCGCTCCCCTCCAGTACGCAGCAAAAAATCACAAGTTTTGATAAAATTGAGTTGCAGAAGTTTGCGTTCAGCAAAGTATATCAGTAATTGACCACGATAGTTGTGAACTATATATGAATTTATACTTGCGAAAAATTTTTTTCACTGCATGGCTACCAACTCGCTTGCTTTCTAAACTCCAGGATTATATGCTTAATAGAAACCTGGAAAGCATCTCATTCTTCAAGAAGTACTATTCATGTTTTTACTCAAATTTTTCCGTGTTGTATCATAAATATTTATCAGATCAATCATAGATTTTTGGAGAAAAATGATAGAGGAGGCCTTCATTCGATACCTAACCACCTACTCACCTGGATCATTCTTCATCGGCATATCAACAAATGTTTTCGAATCATTGTACAGCTCATGGAAGTTTACGGCTATTAACAATGTGCTATTGCAGTATACATGTCTAAAGCACAGAAGTAGATTCAGATCTAAGTTTTATAGAAACCTACGAGTTGTTGGAGTTACTGCGATCACAAACTGGCACAGGGTCATCAATCCAGTGAAGCTGTTCGAGCAGTGACACTTGGAGAGATAAGGGAAATAACGTGATCAGCAGAAGAAGCAGATGGGTCATCTCCGGATATAGGAGATGCTGAAGATTACCTAAATTTCGCCAAAATGATGCAGATGTTCAAAGAATGTAAAGGAAGTGAAACTGATGCCGAACGATTGGCGGCGAATGAGGGTGGGATCTTTTTGTTTGTGTATCTGGGGATCAGCTGTCTGCTCTTGAACTCTTGTAATAAATTGCTTTGGCGTTCGGGACAAGGTTCTTCATCCTCTTGGTCAGCTTTGTACAGCATAAACCGTATCGATTCTGAAGATCCTTCAAGTTTGTTGGTCGTATTCGTTTCAGTTTCAAAACTTAGGGTGCTTTTGAGCAAGACACTTCCTCAAATTATATTAAGATGAACGTTTGTACAAGTACTCTCATTTAACATACAGTGTTATACCCAAGCTGAGTAAGGAGAAATGGCAGGATGTCCACTCCAATCTAGGAGCAAAAATTTGTATTTGTGACAATGACTTATGTAATGTCCTTGACCAAATAGGAAGCTGTGAAACCAAAGGGGACGAAATGTTGACAATTGCACCTCAACTTGATTAGGACACGGCTTCTCTTTATTCCGTCATTTCGTTCTCCTTTCTGCTCTCGTTCAAAACATAAAAAACGCCCGATAGTTTCTGTTCTGAACTTTGTACAAGGATCTCCTCACCATCGAATTGTAAGTCGAAACAAGAATGAGTCAGTGCTTATTGTCGTAGCGATGTAGCCACTACCACAGCTGTGCCTGTTGTTTTAGAAAAACAGAGTCTCTTGCTACACTTAGTGACCAAAGTGCAGTTGTTCTAGTAGTTCTGAGGATTCGAGAGAACTACGTTGATAATGTTTGTTTCACTTATTAGTCCATTGTAAAAGGTATTAGCACGCCACTGGCAGAGAATAAAGTCCATTGTAATGCTATTGTGTGCGGACTAGTACAGTGCGTTTCGTAGCTGCATCGAATGATTATTCGATCATTCGAATAAATCATTTGAATGCGAATGATTCGAAAAGTCAAGTATTCGAAAATCTGAGATTTCGAATAAAATTCGGAAGTCGAATATCCGAACATTTCAGTTCTCGAATATATTCGATATTCAAATACTTGAAAATCTCAACTTTCGAATATCATTCGAAAGTCGAATAATGGTTGGTGATCATTTCAATCATCCGATGGTCATCGAATATTCGAATCATTCGACGAACATCGAATATTCGAATATTCGCTGACCGTCGAATGATGGGACACTCCATAAGCATAGCACGTCACTGTAGGAGTTTCTATCAAGCTACAACCCTCAACGAGGAGTGTATGGCCAGTAGTAAACCCCCCATCAGGGCATCTCTCTTGAGGCGGACCGGATCTCAACGCGCCTCAGCACATTGCCAGGGGAGCGATTGATTTGGAGCAGGTCACTTACTGGCATTCGCGTTTTCAAAGGTGGAACGTTTTTGCCATTTGTGCATTATTAGTCAAATGGATAAGATTAATGCGCAAGCGGCGGGGCCGTGGTTCGAGTGCGGCTAGCGGCACCATTCTTGCTGCTTGGCCCGGCGACCTTTGATAGCGGCCGCTATCGAAAAATCGATGATAGCCGCTATAGATTTCACCTAGCAAACAACAAGATAAAACAAATACGCACTATTTTGGCATACATACGAGGAAAAATTACACTTAGAGAAAAACGAATAAAAAGACAAATTTACCTATTTGTCATTTGAAGCGGCTTTTCCGTAATTTCAGTGTAAATGAAAAATTCTAAATTGAACTAAAAGTTTAACACACTTAACCCGCCTCAGTTTCCGATTTCGTCGCGCAATCAGCTGTTCATCAATCCTCACTCACTTAGGCGCCCGAAATTGTGCAATTTTGAGAGTTCTGCACCGCAAAAGAACGTCATCTGCGATGTTTCGTAGGTTACTCGGGAGCAACTTACGGGGATTTTCTCTGTGCTCTCCTCTTTAGCACAGTATTTACCTCATGTCGTTTCGGCTCATCTCCGTTGACTCCGGTTGGGAGCTGATCTCCCTGCCGGACTTCATCTGAAGCTCGCCTGTAGGCCGTGCATAGTTACATCACGGAAAAGTGGGCAGTCCTCATCTCACCCGATAAAGCCTCTATGAGGGCCTAAGGGGAGATCATCTCCCGTGACCGAGCTTTACTACGGGCCTATATGTTTTGTGCTCTCACGCAGTATGTAGTCTGTACAGTAATCGTGATGCGCCATTTGTGTCGCAGTATGTAGCTGCTATCAATTTCTCGTTATTTAGGAGGGCCAGAATTTTGATGGTTTTCTCCAACCGCGTCCATCACATTCTTCATGAGCGTCATTAAGTAAACTCTAAAACTTAAACTTAGACTTTGATTTTAGACCTACAGTAACACGGCTTTATGACCCCAGTGAAAATGTGAAAAATGAGTACAATATTCGTGATGAATGCACCGAATAACCCCCTGGACAAAGGTTTTACAGGATTTCAAAATTTTGTAGATACCGAGGCACTGCGAAACCTCCCCCTCCCCCATCAAGCTTGCTGAAAGTACGAACAAAATGTACTCCGGAGGACTTTTTAGCTTCCCCTCTTTTTTGTACACTACTTCTCTTTTTTTGACCAAACTCAGAGTCATCTCTGAGTTCCACGATAGACTGTAACGCGCATGAAACTTAGAGTTATCGGAAAGCACAGCTGCGCGTTCGGTGGCGCTGTTTCTTGTACAGAATGATTTCGACGATGTTTTTCTACTAGGAGTGAACTACCGGTTACGGAGTCTCCTGCCATATCATCTAGATTCGATTCATTCAAGCACTTGTTGAGGGGTAAGAAAGGTGTGGTTAGCTCAGATAAAACTCAGAGTTGAGTCACAGCAACCGTGAGTTTCGGCCAGATCACTACCGACTCTGGAATTTAAAAGTGTATTGGAGTTTTGAGTACCTTTCAAAAAGCATCAAAGCGTAGGTATTTGACTTGTTGACTTGACTTTTGTTAATGAGCCTGAGGTCTAGTGCACGCCGTTCTTCATCCGCATTCGGAAGAGGTGATAGATGTGAACGTGAACGTGAAGATGTTTGTAATATAGTCGCAGCGTTATTCAGACTCGACATCTTAAACTGAGGGCGTATTCAAGGTTATTTCACTAATGACCGGAAAAATCCTAGTGCTAGGTCAAGAAGTTCTCGCTTGTTGTAGTGTGAGAGCAAGAATATGGTAGAACAAGTCATTGTACGTACTTCCAGCAGCGATCTATTTTATCGCACTGCCAACGAGAGGAAGATTGCTTATTGCCATGGGTGCTGATTCGAAAGTTGTGTGTATAGCACTTATACATTCCAATAATGTGTGTACTTTAAGTGTATCGTCGAGTTATCGACAGCACGGGCTGGATGTAGAGAGTCCGCGCAGCGCGCTGAGATATATTTCATGCACTGCAGAGTAGTAGTCGCATAAAAGGAAACTACAAAGACCTACAGTACTTGTAAACTATCCACTTGGCCGTGTCATCATAACACATAAACATTCAATTTTTCGATCGATATTCCAAAGTTGAATATTTGATATCCGAATAATATTCGATATTCGAATTCGAAATTTTCGATTCTCAAATATTAGGTTGGCGGATAATTTTTGTTACACTTTTTTCGTAAAATTCTGAAAAGTTCCAGAAGTTCTTTGGAAAGTTCGTAGTTGCTTCATATGTAGACCATGGCAGGGCGTACACAACAGCATGACTGATGCCGCAAATGCATAATTAGCCAGCAACTTTGCGACGACTTCATAAACACACTCAAAATTGTCGATTTTTCTTTGATTTTCTCTCTGCGTCTAATTGTGCTTTTTCTCTCCCATAATTTTTTTGAAACATATTTTCGCATCGTCTCTTTCATGATATCACTTTGGTGCCGCTACCATGCCAAAAACAAGAGGCGAATTTTTTTTGTGCGCATCGTGTAGGATGATACGGAAAGGTTGGAAATAATAAAAATTTTTTTTAAAATTTTTGAAGATTGTTCTTCATGTAAATATGCCAACGTGCGCTGACATGGCGCAACATGTAGCTCATGTGTTCGTGTGCGAGCATAATTGTGCCATCCCCCATGTTCGCTAAATACTATGGACCATACTCTGCCCGAATACCACACCGCCCAATCTCTTCCCAACCACCTGGAAGAATGCCAGTCCGCTGACAAAAATGTCCATAAAATGTACTCCCACCGATAAAGTGGGTATTTTGCGCACGGAACGCGGACCTGACAGTATCGGCGGGTAGATCTTTGCACCCTGCCAACAATCCTCAAGCATAAAATTTTCGAGAGTTTCTTAGATTTAAAAAAAATAGAAGTGTAACAGAAACTATCCACCAGCCTAATATTATCTGATAATCGAATATTCGAAATTTTCGATTTTCGAATATTTTTCGAAGTCGAATATTTGAAACTTACAGTTTTCGAAAATAATCGATATTCGACTATTTGAGAAAAAATTAGAATTTTTCCAAGTATACTGCATACCCTAAACAAAGCTTTGCATGATTGTATCAGGTAGCGAGATTTTTAAGCCAAAATAGACATTTCTCGAAAGCATGCTTATACTTGGCCACAATATTATGACTGAGATTTTGAAGTTTGGTGGTAGATAAATTGATCTTATATATAAAGCTGAATGTCTGTTTGTCTGTCTGTATGTCTGTCTGTATGTCTGTCTGTATGTCTGTGTGTACGTATGTTTCGAATAGAAAATTCCATCTCTGAACCGATCCGGACCAAACTTGGCAAACATACACTTCGGGCCCCGGCGGGTGTCATAGGCTACTTTTCGTCATCGATCGATATCGATTTTATCGATTTTTATCGATTTTTTTTGCAGAGTTCACCTACGGGGCTGGGAGTTGGCACAGGGGGGTAATCGAGCATGGGGATTCCGAATACAATATTGGTTTTCAAGATCGTCCATTACTTTTATCGATTTTATCGATTTTTTTGATGAGTTCACCTACGGGGCTGGAAGTTTGCACAGGGGGGTAATCGAGCATGGGGATTCCGAATACAATATTAGTTTTTAA